ACACGGCGACCTCACAGGTTTCCAAGGTTGTAAACTTTGACAGTTGAATGCCACATGTTCTTGAATAGAGGGACTGCTGGGTTAACACTTGAGCACTTAACCACTGCAACGCTGAGGTTTCTTTTACTCTTCTTGTGACTAAATGGCTGCATAGAATGTGAAAAACAACCTTGATTGTTATAATCTGGTCTTTCCTTCTTCTTCTTCTTTTTTTTTTTTTTTAAGTCTCAATATGTCTCAATGTGTCTCCAGACAGGGTCTGACTTCTTGGTTCTTTAATCGCATTTTGTCCTTCAACCCACTGGGAACTGTTGTTTCTAAGATTCCCTGACACAGTATTTGCCTTCTCTTGTGTCAAATGCATGATTCTTATATTAAGCTTCCCTGTGTTTTCTGAACATCAGCCTGCAACTTCTCAGATGTAAAAAAGCAAGGCTGTGTGTCATACGTGCAATCAGAAATACAAACACACACACACAAGCATTGGGATTGCACACACGCAGGTGAGTGAAAGAAAGGAAGACCCTCAACGAGATTGGTTGACCCAGTGACTGCAGCCGTGGGCTCAGGTGTGTCAGAGGTGATCGGGACGGCACAGGACAGGACAGGGTCCACAGCTGTGGTTCACTCTGGGTCTCATGACACAACAGCACTTAAACCACAACAGAGTGTGACTGTAGAGGGTGAGCAGTTTGCCGGAGAAGTGAGGAGGACTGGTGGATGTGGAAACAGTCACAAACCCAAGAGGTAGAGAGTTCTGGACGATTATCGACAGGTCTGGCTAACAAGCAATAGACAGGACTCCAGCCTGGCTATTCAAAGTGCTTTTCCCACCAGCAGCATCCACATTATCTGTGTGCTTCTTAGAATTGCACACTGGCAGGTCCCACCCAGAGCTATTGAATCAGACTCTGTGTTCTGACAAGGTCCTCGCAGGATTCTTAGGCAGATTAAAGTTTGAGAAGTGCTTGGGCTAGAGCACATGGAGCCTTGGTGGTGCTGTAGGTTAAGCACTGGGCTGATCACTGAAAGGTTGGCATTTGGAAGCTACCAGTCACTTCTCTGGAAAGAGTTGTAGCAATTTGGTCCCTTAAAGATTAACAGCCTCTGAAACCCAGAGGGGCAGCTCTAACTCTGTAAGGTTGCTTTAAGCTGGAATCGATTGACAGCAGTGAGTCGGGACTACAGCGTAGTTGGAATCACATGTTGTTGTTACGTGCCATGGAGTCATTTGCAATTCACAGCAGCCCTGTGTACAATAGCTGTGAACCCTGCCTTATCGTTCTCTTTTTTTCTTTTTTAAAAATGAATTTTAATGAATGTTTAGAACCCTGCCTTATCTTGAGCCAATCTCCTTGTTTCTGACATACCCACCCCTATTGTCCCAGTCACTGAGTCACTCCACCTCATCCAGGGTCTTTCTCTCCTGCCCTTCCAAGCATGGAGGATACTAATAGTACTGCCACCCTTGTCCACTGAAGAGTCTGATTCCATCGCACTGGTGGATGGTCTGGGCATGGGCATTTGTAAATGCTTGCCAGATGAACCCAATGTGCGGCTGAGACTGACAAGCGCTGGACTGGAGGATTCCACAACCCTCACAAAGTGTTTCAGCACGCTGCCAAGGCAGGCAGGTGCCACTCTGAAGAGCCATAAATGGAACCATCGTGTAAATGAAGACATCTGCTCAGCGATCTGCTGCGGTGTTTCAGGAGATGCCAAGTTTATGACTTGCTTGTGCCAATATTTAGCCAACATAAATAGTGTCTAAAATGGAAACACTTGTAGCAGGTGGGGAGCAGGCCAGCTCAGATGAAGGTGGACCAGGAAACACGCCTGGTCACAATGTGACAGACCCAGACTCCTGAGATCCCAAACTAAAGAGATGTGCATGGTGAGACCCAAAGGCCTGTGTATGCTCTAGAGAGGAACCTGGGTTTTATCACCTTAGGCTAATCATTACTAGGGAGTGCTGGTGGCCGAGTGGTAAGAAGCTGTGTTGTCAACCCTAAGAGCACACGGTTTGAATCCACCAGCTGCAAAGAAGGGCAATCTCCTCGCATGTGATTTACAGCCTCTTGAAAACTCACTGGAGGGTCAACTATGAGTTGGTTCCAAATCAACAGCATACAGCAACAACAGTTGTTATTAGCTGCACTCAAGTCAATTACGACCGCAACAGTAGTCGTAGTTGTTATTGTTGCTGTTTTTAAACCTCACACATCAGATTCTCTTAGAGGGCTTGTTAACACAGAGAGCTGAAGTCTCCCTAAAACATCTGGGTGGAAGCACAAGAATTTGTATTTTTTTAAATTTATTGTTAATTTCTGTGAAAATTTACAGAGACTTAGGATTTCCATTCATTCATTGTTGCACTTTTCTCCCCTCCCATCTCTCCCCCCTAGTACACTACTCTCTTGGAAAAGTAAATAAAAAATTCTTTGTTTTACAATCCCTCCCCCCAGGTCCACTCTACTATGCAGCCTTTGCTCTGGACTCCTGTCTTGACAAAAATACCTAATCACATATCCCTTTTAAAGTTTTCTCCATCATCTGATTAAATGCAGTATACATTATTGAATTCATCTTTCTCAGTCTCCCCTCAACCCCAAGGTCAGTCCTGTTTTACAACAGTGGCACCATGAAGTATTTGTCCTTTTGTGACTGAGATATTTCACTCAGCATAATGTCCTCAAGGGTCAACCATTTTGAATAACATTGCATGAGTTTCTTGTTTTTCAATGCAGCATAGTATTCCATTGTGTGAATATACCACAGCCTCTCTGTCCATTTGTTTGTTGACAGGCACTTAGGTAGTTTCCAACTCCTTGCTATTGTGAACAAAGCCGCAATAAACATGGGTGTGCATATATCTGCTTGGGTGGCAGTTATGGTCTCTTTGGGGTATATTCCCAGTAGTGCAATTGCTGGGACAATGGTATCTCTATTTGCAACTTTTTTAGAAAGCGCCATACTGCCTTCAACAGTAGTTGCACCTGTTGCTGCTTTTTAAACCCCACACATCAGATTATCTGGGTGGGGGCCCAAGAATTTTTATTTTTATTTTTATTTTTATTTTTTATTTTTCCCTACATCATGCTGATGTTGCCACTCTGGAGCCCAGTCCTTGAAAAATCACTGCCTTAGATCTCAAGGAAACCATCTGAGTCCCTGTGTAGTTGTCTTGTTGTTAGGTGCCATCCAGCGACTGTGATTCATAGGAACTTTGTGTTGACAGCGCAGCTTCCTGCTGATTTCTCCACCAGAGCTCCCCTTTCATCACCAGTGAGATAAAAAAGTAAATGGGAAAGATCTGGCAAGGACTGGAAAGACAGGATAATGGTGGGCATAGTTCAATGGCAATCAATTTTATAAAACATAATGAATGGGAATGATTGTAGGAAATGCAATATGAATGAAGGATAGTGTGGAACACAAATATGCAATCTTGGGAGGCACACCCACATAAAATGAAAAAAAAAATACTAGCCACACCCTGGGAAAAATTCCCCTTACATTTATTTGATTAGTACTGGGATGGGATTAGGGAGTGTTAGATCCCACTTTTAGGGACCTCCTACACCTATTTAGTTTATCAGATTGTGAGGGTTACACAGCTTCCACATTATCTCATTATACATGTATAATGAAGAGATAACTTAATCCATGATGTCAACTAGGATGCAAATTGAAAATTGTTGGTGTATCAGAGTTAGTGTGGAAGGAGGCCTGGTGATCAATCTGAGAAAAATTAGCTATTGAAGACTTCAGAGTCAAGTTCTATCCGGACACGCTTGGGGTTGCCATGGGTTAAACTTGACAATAGCCAGTAGAAGTAATGGATTTCAGGCAAGAGATGGCAGCTCAGAACTGCACTGAAAACTGCTAGAGAATTGTTTCGAAAGAAGCATGGCCAGATGCAAGAAAATCCCTGAGAGGCGGTAGATCTGACTAGATGATGAGGCTTCTCCTCCCTACTGCTTATAAAAGCAGGGGTCAGCGGGGAAAAGCAAAATGTATCCTCAACGAGATGCATTGACACAGTAACTGCAACAATGGGCTTGAGCATGTTGGAGGTCATGTGCATGGTGGAGGTCGTAAGGATGGCAGAGGTAGTGAGGATGGAGCTCATGAGGATGACGAAGGTCATGAGCATGGAGGTCGTGAGCATGGATGAGGTCATGAGATGGCAGAGGTCATGAGGATGGTGGAGGTCATTATCATGGTGGAGGTCATGTGCATGGCAGAGGTCGTGAGGATGTTGGAGGTCATGAGGATGGTGGAGGCTGTAATCATGGAGGAGGTCGTGAAGATGGTGGAGGTTGTGAGCATGGTGGAGGCCGTGAGGACGATGGTCGTGAGCATGGAGGCTGTGAGGATGGTGGAGGCTGTGAGGATGGTGGAGGCCGTGAGGATGGTGGAGGCCGTGAGGACGATGGTCGTGAGCATGGAGGCCGTGAGGATGGTGGAGGCCGTGAGGATGGTGGAGGCTGTGAGGATGGTGGAAGGTCATGAGGATGGTGGGAGGTCATGAGCAAGAGGTCGTGATGATGGAGGTCGTGAGCATGGAGATCGTGAGGATGGTGGAGGCCGTGAGGATGGTGGAGGCCGTGAGGATGGTGGAGGCCGTAATCATGGAGGAGGTGGTAAGGATGGTGGAGGCCATGAGGACGATGGTCATGAGCATAGAGGTCGTGAGGATGAAGGTTGTGAGGATGGAGGTTGTGAGGATGGTGGAGGCAATGAGGATGGCGGAGGTTGTGAGGACGATGGTCATGAGGACAGTGGAGGCCGTGAGGATGGTGGAGGCTGTAAGAAAGATGGTCATGAGGACGATGGTCGTGAACATGGAGGTCGTGAGGATGGTGGAGGTCATGAGGATGGTGGAGGCCATGAGCGTGAGGATGGTGGAGGTCGTGAGGATGGTCGTGAGCATGGAGGTCGTGAGGAGGGTGGAGGCCATGAGGATGGTGGAGGCCGTGAGGACGATGGTCGTGAGCATGGAGGTCGTGAACATGAAGGCCGTGAGGATGGTGCAGGAGAGTCCAAGTCTCCAATCTGTTGTTCACTGGAACGTTATGGGTTCTAGTTGACTCAATGACACCTAACAGCAACAACCTCTAGCTACTCCCAACCAAAAATGAGACAGTAGCATTATAGAAAAGGTAGATTGGAGAGTCAAATGAACAAAATCCAATAGCTGGTTGAACAGGGGAGATAAGGGAAAAGGAAGAATAGAAAGGGATTCTCAGATAGCTGTCTGGTGACTTGAGTCCTCAATTAAATGGTGGAACATTCAAGGACTACATGTGTGGGGGGGGAGAATTTGCAAGTCAAGAGGAAAATTTGGTTTGAAGTACTGTTAAGTCAGATATTTGTGGTATGTACAAGTATGATGTCTAACAGTAGCTGAAACTCAAGAGAGAAGTATGGACTTGAGATAAATTTGTCCTCTCTTCTTGTTATTAGCTTGAGTCAGATACCTAACCCTTGGGTCATCATTACGGCCAAGGTTGGCCTTTCCTTTGGGGGTTGAGGATATTGCTTTGTCATGACTTTGTTATAACTATTATTTTTACTATTTTTACTACTACTGCTGGCTGGACTGAATTAGAGAAGGAAAATAAGCTTCTTGTTGGGTTTGGTTTGTTTTTTGGTTTTGGGGTTTGTTTTTTTTTTTGGTACTGTCAAGTCAGAACCAATCCATAGCTGACCTTCCAGCAGGTTTTCAGAGGCAGTAAGTTGACGGGAGGAAATTGCCCAACTTTCTGCTATGGAACAGCTGATGGATTCAAACTGCATGCCTCTGGGACTACAACACAGCTTCTTACCACAAGGCCAGCCACCTGAGCTCCCTTGAAAATGTTATTGCTAGAAAAGCAATAAAATAATTCACCCTTCAGGGCATTGGAACTTGGATGGTTGCAGTGGGAATGTAAAGGAATACAAAACATTGGAAAGAATTTAGGAAAAACATTAATAAGTTTGGATCCACTGCAAGCTTTTAAACTCTCTTAATCAGGCAAAGAATAGCATTTATTGTTCTGAAACCGAGACAAAAATTTGCTCAAAGCATAGTTAGCTATTTCATCTTGTTTCCTTGTTAGCAAGTCAGAATTTGTTCCCATACTATAGCATCCCTCTCCTACTACACAGAACCGCTTCTTGCCCTGATGAGCTACCTCAGCTTCCAGTACTTTGCTGTGTTTATCTGCCCACTCAGCCTTCAGCCTTCACCGAATAATCCTAGAGGACATTAATTTCCTTCCCCCACCCCCACCTTGCCACTGCAAGGAACGAATCTCAAAGTCCTGCTCTCACTGAATTGTCAAAAAACAAACTTTGGCACCAGAAGAAGGAAATGGGTAATTCTTTTCTAATGAGCAAATGGCTTCATCTTTCATAATGCTTGAAGGCATGGTCTCTTTGATGGTTGAGAAATAGCCAGCATTTTCCCACAATCACCTCATCCCTCCCAGTTCACTGCTGTTGAGGCAATACGGCAGTAATTGACTATCTGGAGGTTTAACACTCTTCAGAGGTCTGTAAATCCCAAAACAATCTGTGGGCAACCTCACGGCAGACAATCATTTTTCCCAGAATGCACCATCTTGTTTTCAGACAATGAATGTTACTTGACCTCTGCTAGGAACTCCAAGTTCTACAACCCAATATGGTACACAGTGCCCCTAACACTGAGTCAATTGAGATGCATCACAGAGCTTTAGGAAACCTTGTAACAGTCACAATGCAAAGAGGCTGAGCAAGGAGGAGGGTGTTGATCACAAGCTTTTCATGTCTTTGCAGTGACCTTAACTTGAACTCTTCCTCCTAGCTACCCCAAGGTAACCAAGGATGACATCATGGTCTTCTACTAAATCACAGCAATTCGCTCTTAGTGAAGACCTTTGCAGGGCGACATGCATACCATTTGCAATCTACTGACTGCAAATCAGCCTTCTCAAGACCTCTTAAAGTAACACGCTGACAGAATTGTATCTCCATAGGTATTTGGAGCTCGGTGATTCTTCGTTGTAGCTCTGTGTGGTGTCAGGTATTTAGCAGCATCCAAAGGAGGCTTGATAAAAAAAAAAAAACAAAATGAAAAAACAGCAACCACAAAGGAGGCTTGATAGAGAAGTGGTTAAGCAGTCATAGGTCAGAAGATTGATGGTTCCAAGTCACATCAGTTGCCCTGCAGGAAGAAGATGCAGTCATCTGCTCCTGTAAAAGTTACAGACCTGGGAACCTGTGGACCCCCACAGGGTCACTATGGGCTGGAATGAAGGCAAAGATATGTTTCGGTTTAGCAGCACCCATGGCGTCTAGATGGATTGATAACAGCGTCTGTGGAAATGGGCTTACAAGTGTTGGGGACGATGAGGATGGTGCATGATAGGAATGCTTTCAGATCTGGTGTTCACAAGGTAGCTGTGGTCTACTAGCCTCGCTGGTAACAATAACATGGCATCCAACCAATGTGTATCCAGATACAGCAAACATCCCCTGGGAGACAATAGAAACAGCAAACAAACAAAATACACTGCATTAAGCTCCGAGTTAGGAAAAGGCTGTTTCAGATACAGATCAGGGCACTGTCTTTATCTGCTGGATTATCTCCAGAACCACAGCTTTCCTGCCTCTCTGAACCAAGCCTTCCCCAGCACACTGATTATCACATTGTGATTGCCCCTTATCATCTAAGTAGAGCCAACTCATCCTGGAGATTGGCCTTTGTCCTGTTATTAACATAGCAGCAGGTGGGGGAGCAGGTTTGGCCCCTAGTAACTTCTGAAGGCTGGGTGGGAAGGCCTCCATGTGGTGGGTGCATTCAGCAATGAGGCTGCATCGAGCAGCAGGGCTGCCGCTCGAGGGTCAGCCATGAGTCTGAACCCACTTGAGGGTAATGAGTTTTGCCTCTATTTTAGCAAGCTTTGGCTGCGCAGTCCATAGGAAGTTGAGCTGCTAACACAAAGACCATACTTCCCAGGCTGTCCATTTCTCCCAGTGGCTCCAAGAGAGGAAGATGGGCAGTCTCCTCGGAAACCCCACTATGAGCTGGTTCAGCCATCTATAGCAAAGGCTGACTCTGGTTTATGGGACTCCTTCAGTAGTGCATATGGCTAATGCCTTTGGCCATTAACCAAAAAGCTGATGGTTTGAGGCTACCCAAGGGTACGGAAGAAATCCATGGTAATTGACTTCTGAAAAACCAACCACTGAAAATTCTATGCAGCACAGTTATACTCTAGCACTCAAGGGGCTGTCAGCTTCAACACCAACTGATACTTTTTCTGTTTGGGTGCTAGCCCAGACAGGCTGCCCACTCAGTGTCTTTCTCTAAGTGCTCAGGACATGGTAGGTGATGGGTTATATATGGGCGTTTCTGAGCTGTACCGTCCTCACCATCCTCATCATCAGGTACAGTGGTGCCCCGCCCCCTTCAGGCCATTGGTTGGGACTACAGCTTGAAAACCAAATCTCTTTCCTCCTGCCCAGCCCTGTGGTCACCTCTGATAAGTGAAGATGGCATCAGCATGTATAACTGAAAGTACATGGCCTTTCCGCCTTCTCTTTTTTATTTTATTCTGATTTATTTACAAAGCTTGAGTATGTTGTTTTTCACAAAAGATCCTTCCCATTTCCTTCACCCCTTTCACCCATTGAATTGTGCAACCCTATGAGTGACACCCTCCCTTATCCCATCCTCACCCCTCTATATCTACGCTCCCTCTCCCCCGAGTCCCCACCACCGCCTTGGATCCTCATACTCATTCTACAATAATGATTTTATACAGTATTTGTCCTGTGGGAATGAGTTAGTTCACTCAGCATAATGCTCTCCAGTCCCTCCCAAGTTAGTTAATAATGTACAAAATCATTGCTCCTGTGTGCTGTGTAGTATTCCATTGTATGAATGTACCACAACTTCTCAAACCATTTATTTATTTGTGGTTGGACATCTGGGCTATTTCCATGTTTTTGCAATGGTGAATAATGCTGCTATTAACATTGGTGTACAAGTTTCTGTTTGAGCCTCAGTTCTCCTTTTCTTGGAGTATATATATATTCCAAGGAATGGAATAGCTAGGGCATATAGAATTCCTATGTTCAGCTTTTTGAAGAATCGCCAAACTACCTTCCAGATTGGTTGCACCAAGGGTTCCTAACTTCCAAATCCTCGCCAATGTTGACACTTGCTGTGCTGTTAAAACTTATCACTGCTACTGGAGTGAGATGGTATCCCATTCTGGTTTTGATTTGCATCTCTTATCGCCAGTGATTTGGAGCATTTCTTCATGTGTATGTTGGCCATTTTAATATCTTCCTCTGTGAAAATTCTTTTCACTTCTTTTGCCCGTTTTGTAATTGGGCTACCGATCTTTTCTTATTGAGGCCCAGAAGTAGTCTATAAACTTTCATTATGAGACTCTTGTCTGAGATGGTATTGCCAAATGTTTGTTCCCAGTCAGTAGATTTTTTTTCACCCTACTGGAAAAAGGGTTTGATGAACACAGGGATTGACTCTTTAGAAGGTCCCATTAATCAATTTTATCATTTGTACATTTCTGGCTGTATTTGGCAGTCTCTTTATACTGTAGACTAGGACTTCTAAGCTTGATATCAGTTTGTCTCTAATGACCTTTCTGGTTTGGGGCTTTACTCCCAAGTCTCTTATCCACCTTGAGGTGATTTTTGTGTATGGTGTGAGATGTGGATCCTGTTTCAGCTTCTTGCAGGTCACAATCCAGTTTTGCCAGGACCATTTATTGAAGAGGTTATCATTCCCCCATTTAATAGCCTTGATTTCCTTGTCGAATATCAGTTGACCATAGATAGCTGGGTCTATTTCTGTGTTCTCAATTCTGTTCCACTGATCTATGTGCTTGTCATTGTACCAGTACCATGCTGTTTTGGTTACTACCGCTTTATAGTAGGTTTTGAGGTCAGGAAGTGCTATGCCTCCCACTTCATTTTTGTTTCTCAGAAGTGTTTTGCTTATTACCATTTACAAAAGCCAACC